TCTCCAGACCTAAATCTACACATTAAAACCCTATAGAGAATCTTTGGTGGGAGCTCAAACTCCATGTTTTTCAGAAACCTGACTAATCTAGAGACGATCTGTGTGGAGGAGTGGGCCAAAATTCCTCCTGCAAACCTGGTTTGTGCAAACCTGGTGAAAAACTACATGAAACATTTTACCTCTGTAATTGCAAACAAAGGGTACCAAATATTAACATTGATTTTCTCAGGTGTTCAAATACTTATTTGCAGCTGCATCATACAAATAAGTAAAAAGAATTATATACTGTGATTTCTGGATTTTCTTTTTTAACATTATGTCTCTCACAGTGGACATGCCCCTATGATGACAATTTCAGACCCCTCCATTATTTCTAAATGTGAGAATTTGCAAAAGAGCAAGGTGTTCAAGTTCTTATTTTTGTCACTGTATCTGTAAGACACTAATTAGTATTTCATATTCTGATTCGGATATTGATTTATGATAATAATGTTGTTTTTGCCTATATGAAATTTATTTTGAATCACAGAACTATCCATAAAACTAAAAAAAAATCCAAACCTACAAACCTACAAAACCGACCTTCCCTCACAAAAATGTCAACAATGCAGCATTGTAACTACACTGCTACACACACACACCCTAAATATGCCTTGAAGAGCTGAACATAACCAGCACCAACAAGGCACTAGGCAGTGCTTTGGTGTTTACACAGACCTCAGAAAAATAGAGCAGTGTGATCCAGTTCCTGCTGCTCATCAACTGGACAGACCAGATACTGATAACACCTTGGTAGTATGAAAAAAATGAAACAAGGTGGCATAGCACAATGGAAATGAACAACTGATAGTTAAAACACCTAAAAAAAAATATGTTGTTTGGAAATTGTTCTTAATGCCAGCAGAACTACAAAGCTCTGATTATTATCAATAAAAAATGCTAACTATAAGTATTACTCTACTGTATTTTGATCATTCATGATTTTTTGAAACATTTGTAGGATTCTGTTGTTTTTTATGCAGACTAAAATGATCCCAATCAACAAAGTTGTAGATTAATTTAATGCTATTAAAGTCTAGAAATTTTCAATTATTTTCAAAACTCCAACTAGACAGATTTTTGTGCTCCTCATCTCTTTTGGGGCTCCCCTCAGTGCAGGAAAACCGAAGTAGAAAAACGATAATTTGACCTGCAAAATGACCCAAGTTTCAGGTTTTTACAGTGTTAATCTTGAAACAATAGCTGAACAAAGTCAAAAGATTACGTATTCCAAAAAAAAAATCTCTGTAAGGAGATAACTTAATGAAAAGCTTTGGAGGCCATCATCTGTTAGCGAAATGGGAACTTTTGTCAGCAGCGAACTGAACACTGAAATCCCTCCTGATGAGCGAGGAAATGGAAAGCAGGTTAAAATCGGTGATTTGTTTCCCGTATTTTTTTTTTCTAAACATATTTACTCATATTTGTTATATGTTGTTGGATCTCTATCCTAAATAGCTCATTTAATTTAAGAAATTAGAGTATCATTCAACAGTATTTTTTTCCTTAATTTAAATCCCTAAAGGAAACAAAATATATACAATAAATACACACAAACTGATTTTTTTAAGCCTCTTTTCTCTTCAAACTTATGATTGACTGCTAAAAGCCCATTGGAAACTAGAATATATATCAGAACAAGAAAAACAAACATTTAATACAGAATTGTGGCCTTAATAAAAATTAAGTCTGCTTTTAAGCTAACAAACAAATTTTCTTGTTTCATTTGCTATATTATCATTTTTAATAAGTACATAAAGAATATTAAGTTTTTTTCCCCATGCCTGTACTAAATGCACCTATTCCACTGCAGTTTTCCATGACAGTTTCAATTGTCTATATTACCCACTAAGGCAGGGCTAGGATACTGCAAGGTTTTGATTAGTCTCTACTTTAAATCACCCAGCTATTGATTGAGATGTGAAGGGAAAGGGTCACGTAATAAGACAGGTATGGGAGAATTATCCTGCCATAATGCAAGAGCACATAATTTCAATTTGAGAAAAGAATTTCATCTTCTTTCACTCAAACCTTATAATGTTCACACTCAAAACATGCGCTCTCTCTCAAATATTTTCTCTTCTCTCTCAAATCTTTGTTTCTTCTCTCAGATGTAATGCTTCTTGCAGATATTTTCTCCTCTCGCTTGCCTCCTTCTCTTCGCGCACAAACCGCGCTCTGCTCGAGTCTCAGATACACTCGCAAACCCGTAGGCTCTGCTGGCGGATTTTTTTTGCTCTCTCTCAGATTGGATCGGATCGTCGCCTAGCAACCTTTCCAGCCAATAGAACGACAGCCTCAGAAAGGGTGCGCTTGTCTAACTCTACTGTGTGCGCCTGTGATAAACCTTACCGACAATAAAATGGCAGAGCCTACGGGTTTGCGAGCGTAACTGAGACTCGAGCAGAGCGCGGTTTGTGCGCGAAGAGAAGGAGGCAAGTGAGAGGAGAAAATATCTGTGCAAGAAGCATTAAATCTGAGAGAAGAAACAAAGATTTGAGAGAGAAGAGAAAATATTTGAGAGAGTGTGCATGTTTTGAGTGTGAGCATTATAAGTTTTGAGTGCAAGAAGATGAAATTCTTTTCTGAAATTGAAATTATGTGCTCTTGCATTATGGCAGGATAATTCTCCCATTGACAGGGGTCTTCATCCTTCGTCAAGACCAGCTGTCCTGCATGTTTTCTCTTCCCCTTCAGGTCATTAATATTTTCGCAGCAGATAGTATTTATGCCCAGTTCAAAGCACTTTGCTCCAGAAAATGATCTGGATCATCCAGGATTGTTCTGGCCAGTTTGGCTGACCTCAGATCAGTTCAAGGAATTTAAGGTGACACCAGCACTTTTTTTTCTTTATTTTTTGCTGAAAATGGCAGCAGAATTTAATATTCTATACAGGCTCAATAAAGCTAAATTAAATCATAGCTACAGAATTGACATCAAGGTAAAACTTACCTCACAGCCTAAAGAGTACCTAAACTCAAGGGCGTAGGTTTGATTTGAACTTTGGTAGGGACACTATTGGTCTGGTGTCATTGGTGCTATGCAATATGCATGCCCTTTTTTATGCTCGATGTGAGCATCCGTACTGATAAGAGGAATTCATTGTTAAAAGAGAAAAGCAACATTTTGCTCCATTAATAAAAATGTTATAAGCTCTACACTCATTAGATGCTGTTTATCAATGGGATATTAGATTTTTTATTTTTTTTTACTCAAAGCTGAATCCCTTCTTAAAAGCAGTTCATCTGAGGTTCTTCTGTTATGGTGGTTTAGCTCACAATCTGAACTGGGAATCGGATGCAGAACAGGTCTTTGTTGTCTTTATCTCTCAGCTCCCACTCCACAACACATTTGATAGAAGGATACTCGCTCTTTACTGGTAATGAAGCAAAATTGTAAAAATAAAAATAAAAACAGTAATATCAACTAAATTTCAGTAAAAAGGAAACCCTCACATTTTCTTTTTTAGTTGGCTGTGGCTAAGAATCAGAAATGTTGATGGCTTACAGCCTTTATTTGCCCATTTTTCCAGCAGTCTTCAGAACTCCTGGCTGACTCAGAAAATTTCGTTTTATAAAAGAAAAAAAAAAGGTTTTTGTTTTTTAGTATACATGATATTCATTTTTTTTTATTGGGACTAGTTTTGTAGCCTAATATTAATTGTTGTAACCGCTGCATTCTAGTGTGAATAAATTTTCAATGTTGTGCTCCAAGCACACGCGGACTAGTAAACAGCCAATCAGAGAGAGAGAAGGCGGAACTTAAGGCAGAACAACCAATGAGAGTTGAGTTAAACATGCGCAGCACAGTTCCATGCGCTGCTTCATGAAAGGGACAGGAGAGAGCAGGCAGAGGAGCTGCGAGAGGAAAAGAAGCCACTGCTGCAACAACAACTACTGCTGTAAATTATAAACATGTTGCTCACATAAAATTATTGGTAGGGACAATTATGTCGGTTCAAAATTTTGGTAGGGACATGTCCCTATGGTCCCTATGCAAACCTACGCCCATGCCTAAACTCCAAATCAACCTTTTTCAATGCAAATTGTATAAATTGGACCTTAAAGGTGCTATATGTCACAGCCTGTGTTCACTAATTAAAACTGCAAGAAATCACCTCTGCCTCTGCATTTGGGTCCTCTAATCTCAACCAAACCCTGACACTATGTTCATGTTTATTTGCAAAATTTTAATACTTCAGTGTAATTCTTTATCGTTATGTAATATTTAGCGTAAAACTCTCTTAGTTCTGCACTCTATGGATTAAAACCTTGCTACTGCAGTGGAATTTTCCTGCTGATTACCTCAACCAAGGAGGCTGTGTTTTTAGGAGAGTTTGTGTGTTTCTCTGTCTGCATACAGGATAACTTGATCTTAACAAAACATTTTACCAAAAGTGAATCTTGGTCTGAGGAACAATTTGTTAAAATTTTGTTATGATCCAGATCATGTGCGGGTGTTAGCTGTAGCTTTAAGTGACAATATGGGGCGAAAGTGTGCTGCTTCTACACTCTCAGGGTTTTTCTAGTTTAAAACAATTCTAGAGCCACTAACATGACAAAAACACTGTTTTACTTGGTAATTTTATTTCCATCATCTTGTGGACTTCCTGCCTTAACAGATTGGGGCTTTTTGGGAAGCAAATGGTAGACCAAAAAATATATCATTTAGGTCATAATCAGTGCTATCAGGATGCCTTTTAAAGACAGTACAGGAACTTGTGACCCTGTTCCAAAAGTGTTCACTCAGCTGAAACAGCATTTCATCACAATCAATATGATGACTCCCCTTGCTGCTGGGAGAGGCCCAGCTGCTCAAACACTTCCTAAAGGGATAACTGATTGTCCAGTCAGTGAAACTTTGCCACCTCTTCAGCTTGCCTCATTTTCCGTGACGTTCTCCATCAGAGGTTCATGTACTGTTGACTTTGATCAAGCCATAATAACATCGGTAGGTTTAAACATATAGCTGAAGATAGCAATGTTATAATCTTGAAGGAAAAACTGTTGCCATTTTCTGAAAAATTGATAAATTCATATGTAATGTGTATATTTTAGGGGAATCGAGTAATGCTTGGATTTTCTCTTAATATGTATTTATCTTTTGGATCATTTATGATTTTAAATGCGTGAAAAAAGTCTTTTGAAATGTCTTCTTGCTTTATTTTCTATATTTCCACAAAACTCTAATCAATAGTCTTTGGGTCAAACTCATTTTAGAAGTGATGTATTATTTTCCATGTGCTGCTGTAGGACTGTTTCCTTGGAGAAGATCTGAGATTGAAACCCTGGCATGGTGTCTTTTTTCGTCTGAGTACTCCAACTTCCTGTGGATGTGAGGTTGATCAGTCTATCTAAGTTGGATTTAGATGTATTTTTCTGTCCTGTGTGTCACCCTACATTGAACTGGTAACCTGTACAGGTCTAACTCCCTCTCGCCTAGAGACTGCTGAAAGTAGGTATTGGCTGCCTGGTGGACAATAAAATATAAAAGCAAAGAAAATTGATTATTTTGTTTTTCCTTTAATGTCATATTTCATATTAAACACATTAAAACGTCTTAATGCTTGTGGTTGAAATGTGACAAATTAAATTTTATAAAGCTTAAAGGCTATATGTGCTTTTTTGGCATAATGCATTTTGGCTAAAATCCCTTTCAGAACGTCACACATGTCCTTTTAACCGAGACTATTAACAGAGAACATGAGAAGGTCCTTTTTGTTTAGTTCTATTATCTGGAAAGTTTCACTTTTATAAAATGCTTTATGAACCTTTGTTGTTTGCCTTCCTCCCCTCTGAAATCTGTCGTTAATGAGAATCATATGACTTGACGCTGACGATGGCGCTGCGTCTCTGGAGAAACAAGGTGCAGCTTTACATTCTGGAATGTGACCAGAATATATCATTTAAGGAGGAGATTCTTCCTGAAACCTTTCTCACCAAAGCGATGACGAAAAGTAGAGAAATTAGTAGAAAAAAAATGAACTCCTCTGGCTGATTAGGGCATTGTTAGGTGAGTAAAGTTGAGTGTATATGAAAATGTTGAGCAGACATAGATTGTTTTCTGGTTTCTTTCACTGTTTTTTTTTTTTAAATTGAAATTTCAAATGTTTTTTTCTTGAACAGGCATGCTCTATTCACAGCTGCAAAATGCAGAATCTGACTGAGCTTTCTCCCAATGCAACTTCTCCAAAAAGCTTCTCTGTGATTATAAAGGTCTGTGTGGTGATCCCATTTTTCTGCATCTTTCTGTGCTGCATCGCTGTCATGCTACAGATCTTTGCCTCTCAGAGGCAGTTTTTGGACATTTCACGTTACATCCTGTTTGCACACATGTTGATCAATGACACCCTGCAGATCCTGTCCTCTGTGCTGCTCTTCCTCTTTGTGATGGGTCAGGTGAAGTTTCCCCTCCTGTTCTGTGTCCCTCTGCTCTTTGTGTCCACCGGTACCTTTCAAAACACCACCCTGATCCTGGCGGCCATGTCTCTGGAGCGTTACGTTGCCATTTTCTACCCCCTGCACCGCCCGGCCTCCTGGCGTTCTGACCGTATTTGGATTATTATTTTGCCTCTGTGGTTCATCAGCTTCTTATTCCCCATCATCGAGTTTTTTATCGAGAAACACAATCCAGCTTTAGATATCTTGTCTTCCAACATGCTTTGCAAAGCTACTGTTATCAACTCATCCCCGATCCAGGGACTGTACCGGCTTGCCGTGAATGTGCTTTTCTTCACAGTGGTTGGTGTTATCATCCTCTTCACCTACGTGAGGATTTTGCTGGAAACCAGGAAACTGAGGCAGGACAGAGCATCAGTAAGCAAAGCCATGCACACTGTGTTACTGCATGGCTTCCAGCTGCTCCTATGCATGTTGGCTTTTACCAGTCCCATTTCTGAAACTCTTGTGCTGCACAAAAAATGGCCGGCTGAGGATGTAGCCTTTTTTAATTTCTTCTGCTTCATGTTGATGCCTCGCTTTCTCAGCCCACTTATTTATGGTTTCAGGGATCAGAGTCTGAGGAAGCACATTGGGAAAATGTTCCACTGCTACGCACATAAAAATGACACCCTTTTCAAATATTGATTTTGCCTTTAATAAAAATTGAACTGTCAGAGAAATAATATGTTTTATTTATGTGCAAACATAGTATGAGCAGGTCCTCAAGTATGAGTGCTGTCAAACAACTTTATTTGGAAAGATCAATCAAAAAAATAGGAATACTAAGAATGTTTAAATAATAGAGGATTTTATGTTCTGCTCTTGGGGGTTAGCAGGGTTTCCTAAGCACCTAACAGTAAAATACATTTCTTTTTTATAGGAAATAACTTATAACATACATGTCATAAAATGTCTGGCAAGATTTCAATCTGTTTTCCTGGCTTGCAAAAGGTACAGTTAAGATTTAATCAGCAAACTTGTTTTTGAGACGTTTTCTCCAAACTCGACTCCTATGTGATGCAGAAGCTGACTGATGAAGCTAAAGAAAAATAAAGAAATTAAAAGTCATGCATTGTTAAAAGTCAAAAGAACTGAAATAAATGATTTTGTTGTATGTTGTGATCTCACAGCATTGACATGTTTTCAACTCGAACATAGTTATATTGTCCAAACCTATTTGAGAATTGAAAATACAACCTTTTTTGATAAATAAGTAAACATATGTAATTCTATCATACCAAATACTAAAAATTCAAATTTCTGTTTCGTTATCAAATGATGCTTTAGTCCTATACCTGTTATAATGCTTTAAAATCAACAAGCCCTTGTTGTTTAGAAAACCTGAAGAATTGTGTGATTTTTCATAAATGATTCTCCATTTCTGTTCTCCTTCTCACTGTACACCAATTCATTTACTTTAGAAAATGTTTTTTTCCTTTGCATTGTTTCTATATTTGTTTTTGAGGAAAGCCCAATTTGTGCAGACAAGATCAACAATGTTTGCAGGTCAGTCTCTGTTAACCATAAACCAAACGGAGGCGGTGTATCTACGTAGACATTTCTCAATGGTAGATCTGTCTGTCCTCTCACCTTTTATCAGTCAACAAATGAGGGGCTGAAGGTGCAGAATTGTTTGTCAACTGTGTAAATCAGTTAGAGAACAGTAAATAAAAAGATTTTAAATCTATAATCTACTTAAAAGACTTACAACACATTTTGCAGCTTTCCTTAACAAATACAGTTCATTGCTTATAACAAACTAATACTTTCAAAGAACAAGAATTGGATTCTTAGTCTAAATTTAAGTGAATCCCATAATTCAGTCAGTAGATATACTTTGTGAAACTCGAAGGAATGAGAAGGTTATTCATTCCTTTGAATCAGGTGATGGACTTTAAGCACACAAAAGGCTCCAGGAAACCTGTCTCCCAGGACTATGGTTTGACCGCCAACCATAATTTGTAAATCTGTTGAATATTTGACTTCTGCAAAATGTGTATATTTTTCCAACAGTTTCTTGTATCAATCAAGCTTTTAGCTACTTCTTATGAATTTTCAATTGTCCTGACTTTTTATAGCAATTTGCAAAAGAATTCAGAGGTAGTAGTTTTCCATTATTCTATACACCTTGTGCAATTCACCCATACTACTACATAGCAGATAAAAAGCCACTCTTGATGACCCCCCAATGCATATCAGATGGTACATTGTTCCTTGTTTGGAAACCCAACCTTTACTCCAAATAAATCTACATCTCCTATCACAATAAAAGTTTTCCTTCATTATGCTTCCCTGAGGGGCTGCTGTACATTTCCATCCAGTTTTAAGCTTGCCAGCTGGTGCCTTTTTAATAGTCCTCTCAGTCCAGGTTGATTCTTCATGTTTTTTCAGGATTTTTGTAATGCATGGTTGTAAGGCAGCCAAACATTAAAGCAATGGCTGCAATTCTAAAGTCAAGGTGCAAGGGACTAGATTTATGTATGAATTTGAGCCTCTATGTAATGTGAATTAGAGTTAAAAATGTAAATCTTTTCAGTTCTTTTCTAAAAAAAAATAAAATAAAAATTTACAGCTGTATTTTGTACAGTCTATCATTTATAGCCCAAAATGAGTAAGAATTGAACTGTCAATTAGGTTGTAAAAACGTCAATGGACATTGATGTAAATATCATTTAATTCTGTCCTGTACATAACTGTTAAATGTTAAAACGATTAAGTAATTGCCTTGATACTGTTAAAGCTGTAGTCTTATGAGGTCCTTTACAGAAAAAGTAATATAATGTAAAATAAATATGGCATTAAAAATATATCAGACAGCAAATGCTCAATGGGAAGTGCATCATGTCCTAAATACATTGTTTCAGGCACTCAGCCATTCTTTTCTTTTTCAGATGTTTCTTATCAAATGTTCATTTTAAGTGTTATGATTAACCTCCTTGTATCTACTGCAGTATAAAAACACCAACTTGAAGTATCAACTTGACCTCTTTACTCAAGTAAAAGTGAAAAAGTATGTGCTCCAAAAACTACTTAAAGTATAAAAGTATAAAGTAACCTTTAAGAAAAAACAGCCAGATGTCACTATATAAATTGAAAGCCTAATTTTTTGACTATTTCGAAAAAATTCGTGGATAGGGTCATGGATGAGGGAGGTCTTGTTGGTACGATACGCTCTCGCCTGTGTCCGACCTTTCAGACATTTCAACATCTTTTTCTGAATCAAACATTGTAGCATGGCATAGACAATTCACGTTTACAGTTTGAAAAACACCTGCTTGCTTCTGATGAGTTCCTTTAGCTAACCAATGAGTGTTTGCGTTATATGACTCATCCAGTTACACTAGTTTTCACTAGTTTCCAATGATCTCCATTGGATGGCGCACATGGCATGAAATAAATATTTATAAACATTTAACCGAAGCCAAGAGTAATAAGTAACATTTGTTTTAAAAATTTAAGGAATAGAAAGTACAGATAATTGTGTGAAAATGTAATGAGCAGAAGTCAGAAGTATAGTACAGTAACAAATTATTTGTACTTCGTTACTTGACACCTCTGGAAAAGACAAACCTTTCTTTTTTTTTATTCAGCAGAGAAATATTGTAACAGCTACAAATTAAGTAAAGTTTTAAAGACAAATGTTACTTAGGGTGTATTAGTACACAAGTTTTTTCACAATGAACTTATCTGTTATGGCATGATGTAAATTTACTGATGCAAATCCCTAAATTAAAGACAATAGTGGAAAACATAATGGGAAAACACAAATTATGGCCCGTGACTTTGACCAGTCAAGTAAAAGGTGACAGACAGACATTCCTTCATTAAAAAGAATAAAAAAAAAAGAAAAGCTGGTGTCAGTTTTTTTACTTGTAATTTCACAATTTCACCAGTAGATGGCGCTGCTAGACAAATACTTGAGAGAATGCGTCCTTGCGTTTTAACTCAAAACTCATGCGCAATAAATTCACGATTTATAATAATAAGGTTTAAAAATCTTCAAATAAAGGCGTATAACTAATATGTATTTCTTATCAGAAAAATATTTTACATAAACTGCTTATTGAGGCTGCAGATGAGAACCCAGAGATCAAACTGTGGATCTTTAGACGGGAGCAGAAACGCTCAGATGAAGTGTGGAAGCAGCGCATCCGATGATAAACTAGGCTGCAGAGGATGAAGGCTGTTTTCTTTTTCTCCTGTTGTTTTTTGACCACGGCTCTGGCTTCCATCGCAGCTGGAGAAATATTTACGTCGCTCCAAAACGTGAGGCAAGCCATCCTGGTTGAAAGGAAACTGATCGGTTATCTGAGAACTTATATCGACAGCGAGTTGGAGAGACTGAGGGACATCAGGCGGTGAGTGATGGGGAAACTGGACATCAGACTGGGACATAATAACACATTTGAGATGGATGATGGAGGAGAGATCTCCATTTATTTCAAGTCATCTCAGTCATCCTAAAGTTTGAATTGTTATTAAATTATGATGTTGACCTAATAAAGCTTGGCCAGTGACCTCATCTTTGGATACAGAGTTATACAAGGGCTTAAGAAGAAGAACAAAAAACTTTCCTTATTCCCTTTTAAGGAAGTAATCTAGCTGTCTGGAAATCTGCTTTGCTCAAAATACCGACTGCTTTTCTGCTCACTGTCTGTCTAGACCCTGCAAATGATCTAGTGCTGCCTCATCTCTATTAGTGTCAGTTTTCTGGTTTGACATTTTGTTTCAATTTTTAATTCAGTGTATTTATATAGCGCTAATTCACAACACATGCCATCTCAAGGCACTTTACAGTTCACCAGAACATCAAATTGATTTAAAGTTTTCTAAAACCAGTTGATTGCATCTCACACTAAGCATGCTTGTAGCGATAGTGGAGAGGAAAAACTCCCTTTTAACAGGAAGAAACCTCCAGCAGAACCAGGCTCAGTGTGAGCGGCCATCTGCCGAGGCCGACTGGGGTTCAAGGAGGCAGAAGCAGAGATACAAAAAGCAGCACATCCAACCAGTCACGGTCAGAGAAACAGGACTAAACTGGAAAACAGGCCGATCTCCAACATCTATAAACAAAGGTGTTGAGGGCAGCCGCACAGCTGACGTTTCCCCTTAAGGATGGCGTCACAGCCAAACAGGAAGAGATGAGGCGAAGCTACTATGTAAAGGCAGAGAGAGCAGAACGTTAGAGATTAAAGTAAAAGATTCTACAGAGTGGAAGAATAGAGATAGAATGAAGCAAAATTATGAAATAAGATTCCTTATATCCTCCAGAAGTTGTAGCCTATAGCAGCATAAAGTTTGAAGATAAAGGTTTTTAATAATGATAAAATCATTATAATTCAAAGTAACAGCAACAGCTTCCAAAAGCCTTATTGAGCTTATCTTTTTCATTGAATTGCATGCCCCTTGTATAAATTCATATTAGTCTGTTACATTAAAACTCCCATTACTGCAATACCTCTAAAGACTCTATAAGTCTCCTAATTAATAAGTGAGCTCCTTGATACTTCAAAATTAAATACAGATGTTCGTTAAAGCCCTCTGAGGTTTGTGAAAGTGAACAGCATCAAACAGGTCATTAAAGCTACTGAGAAGTTTAAAGGAAGCTTTAAAATTCCACAGCTCAGGTGTGAAAATCTTCTGAAAGCTGCAACATTCTCTATCTCTTCTTTTACGGAAGAGTGGCACACAAAGAGTTCATGTTAAAAGAACGCGTTAAGAAGTCGAATTTAAAGCTTGAAACAAGCTGTGAACGAGACACAGCAAACATGTGACCGAACCTACATGCATGTAAAGAAACTAAAACTGAAAACTCTGAGCACAATAATCTAGACTAAAATGTGGCTGTGGCATCATAATGCTGTGGGGATACTTGTTAACATTTAGGGAATTTAAGTAAATCAGAGTTGAAGAAAATATGGAAGGAGTGAAAGAGTGACAATCCTGGAAGAAAAACGTGTAAAATGCTCCAAAAACGTTAGAGTGGGGTGGAGGTTCAGCCAGGGCGACAGCAGGGTGGTTTTAATTAAAACACATTCATCTGTCAAAATGCTCCAGCCTTAAATTGAATTAAGAATATTTAACAAGATTTAAAAATGTGCTTTTCCCAAATGGTATTCACACAGTTAGAACAACAGTCAATAAATACTTTAATTAATCCTTTATTATAGCAGAATCTAATTCTTTAGAAATGATCCTGTCGGGGAGGCAGGATACAAATCAAAGCCACACCTTTAATTGTTTTTTCAGTGTAAAATGTTTCTGAATCATGTATTATTTTATTTCTTTGTCACAATATGTTACATTCTTTTTGGTATATGAAGAAAAATGGCAATAAAAGTTGTTAAACCTTGTGTCTATAACCAGATATAATTAGAAAAAGTGTCTGGAAGGCACTGGTTATTGTCCATTTCCAGCATGTCCTGTGTTATACTCTCCAATCTAATGAAGACCATATGCCAGCACCTACTCTGACTCAATCTCATCTTTCACTCAGGTTTTATGCCAAAGTTTCTGACCTGCACGCAGAACTCTACAAAGGCCCTGCAGCTGCAACAGCAAACCCACTGGTTGCCTTCACCCTGGTCAAACGGCTACATTCAGAATGGCTGAACATCGTTTACAGCAATGAAGCTCAGGAAAACACTCAAAGTGGGCTCTCTTTTTCTACTTCCTGGTGACATCAGGCTGATATCTGAGGCTTATTCCTCCTCTGATCTCACACAAACAAACCTCACCCTTCACTACTCCTCTGTTTAGCCCTCAGGTCCAAATATGAGGAAGAGGAGGCCGACCTGCCCAAAGTCGAAGACCTTCGAGGGGCTGCAAGGGGGCTGATGAGGCTCCAGGATGTGTATTCTCTGCAAGTTTCAAGTCTTGTAAAGGGTCGTTTCCAAAGGGTTACCAATGGAGGTGTGATTGAAGTGTGCTCTCCTGCTGTGTCTGTCTCCCTCACTGGTGACGACTGCTTTCTGGTCGGAAAGGTGAACTTCTAACATTTCTTTTAATCATCACCCAGAAAAGATACATTTGTAATGGAATCTTTAGACCATACCTCACTGATATGTGTTCAGTCTTTACCTCTCAAACTCTGCAGAGAAAAGAAGCAAAAAGTCAAGTTTTGAAAAAAAAACTTAAATAATGAACACCTCATATTGATGTTTACTGAGCTTGATTTCACATTTCATCACATCATGATGACAAACTGTGTTCCTAGGAAATGTCAAAGCAGGTTGACTTTATAAAACAATGTGTACAATTTTAAACACAACAATGAACAGTAGTCAGCCCATCATCTGGAAATGGAAAGAGTATGGTACAGCTGTTAACCTATAGCACCACATGCATGTCTACCTAACTAGAAAGGCCAGGAAAGAAGAGTGTTAATAAAAGAAGCAATCGGTCTCCGCCAGTCACGTGACATTTGTTGCTAAGACGCCAATTTAGGTGGAAAAGGCGTAGTGTAAACAACCGCAGCATAGCTAAACGAAGGACTAAAGGCCTGTTTACATAGCAGCCTGTCCAAGACAAGTCATTACAGTTAACATAAGCCTGAAAACAGGGGCGGATTTAGGAAAATTGGTCTCCGCCAGTCACGTGACATTTGTTGCTAAGACGCCATTTTAGGTGGAAAAGGCATAGTGTACCGCGCCCGAGGTAAACAATTGACGTCACTTGGCGGAGACCGATGAGAGACATTCTGTATTTCTGGAGGAGCTACACAGATCACAACAGGTGGCAACCAGAATGAAAACTTATGAGACATCCTTAAAAGGGTTTATGCCCTTATAGAAGAGTAGCAATATAAAAGGCTGTTAAAAGTTTAATCTAAAGTTTTTTCACAAGTTATCTAAGCATGATTTTAAACAAGCCTGATATACTGAGCTGGATGATTCTTTACTTTCTTAGATCTCTAAGTCATTTGCAGCCATTCATGAATTTGCCAAAACTGCTGGTGGTGTATTTTGCTGTGAAATATGAGTAATGTTCAATTTCCAAATATTTAAACCTGTTAGAAACGGTTGATAAATCCGAGAAACTCCTTTCAAGTTTTTTATTGGCAAATAAAGAAAAAAAAACATTTTTTTTTATTTTTAATTTTTCCTCCTTTTCAGATTTATGAAATTACTTAAGGTTTATGGTAAAAACCTGACACAATTCTAAAAACCATAAAGGCCAAACATCAACAACTGTTATACGGAAAATTTGCAAAGCTACAGAATTGAAAATGATCATATAATTCTAATAGAAATGAACAAAAATGGGCCCTAAAGAAAAACTAAAAATGTATCTTATTTTCCTCAAAAAACACTTTGGAAAAAAAAATTATGGTGGTTATTCAACATCATTGTTTAATGGAAGCAAATTACTTCAAACCATATTTTGGCAAAATTGTCTTGGCAAACAAAAGAAACAACTGGTTTGACAAAATTGAAGAGAGAGTTATCTTAGATATTCTCCATGAATAACTCTCAGCATCCGGAAAAAAAGAATATATGGGTTTCTCCCAGCTGTAGACCTAATCTTCTCCTTCAAGAGAGCCTATAGCCTGTTCTACACATGGATTCCTTTTTTGTACAGTGTTGATGGTAACAACAGGGCACTGTGTGGGAGAGACATGCTCTGGTGTGGAAAATACATTATGTCATCCTTATGAGCAATGGACTCCGAGAGCATTCCCACATACTGAAACAGTGATTAATGGAAGCAGAGATCCTTTATTTGGAGGTTTTAAGTGAGGGTTTTAGAAATATTTCCAAAATGTCTTTTTGAAAACAGATCTGGTTTATTGTAACTGTATTTAAACATTTAAATCAGGGGCAATCACGCTTTAGCTTCACAACAGTTCTTATCTCATAAAAACTTTATTGGCTTCTAAACTGTAGAAAGTGATGCTGACAATTATACAGATATAAAATGAATATCTCTGTAGGTGTCATTAAAGTGAGAGTTGAAGTGGTTCTTTTTCTGACATAAAGTATGTTTTGGGATGTTCTGCATGTCAGATGATTATAATCACCTGATGACCGAGATGCTCTAACCTGTTATCTTTGTCCACGTTGAAGCTAACTGAGGAGTCACATGGGAATTATTGAAAACAGGCTGCACTCATAAGAATAAAGGATTTATTACAGGGAACCATTCGTTTCCTCTTAAATGTGCCTAGGCGATTCACCGTAGTAATAAATCAGTAATAGATTTGAATCATGTGTAGCATATTTTAACTGCCTGTTGATAGCTTTGTACATCTGCAAATGATCAGTAAAATCACTTTTGGAAGGCTCCACATCTGGGCCCTAATCATGTTTTGCCAACTTTCTTCTCGGAGCCCCAAACAGCTTTTTATTGTTAAAGATTTTCCCTCTGGTCTACTAAACAAGATCCATACAATGTAGAAATCAGGTTATTAGGTTAACCCTGCAGTCATGGTTTTTGACTGTAAGAGGAAATCTGAGAGCCAGCAGATAATATATAATTGAGGAGAGCATAAAAAAAGGCTGGGATTAAAACCAAGAACAGAAAAAGATAACATGGCTACTATTTTTTCCATTCCTTATATCAATTAAATGTTAGACACCTCTTCAAGTCAATATACGTTTATAAACATATTATAAAGGCACTATAGACAATTAACGACGACTCAGAATGAGAGTTTTATTGTGTACAGGTGGCCTATGAGCAGGAAGATTATTACCACTCAGTTCACTGGTTGGAGGAGTCGGTGCGTCTCTTCAGGGGAGAAGGAGGAAAGTGGAGCCCTGAGAATGAAGGGACTTTAGAGGACGCTCTGGATCACCTCGCATTTTCCCACTTTAAAGTAGAAGCAAAGAACAAATACAAAGTGGTCCAACATGGTTTATCTGATTAGACTGCCTTAAATCCCCTTTGCTTTATTCAGACAGGAAATGTCTCCTATGCTTTGAGTTTGTCCCATGAGTTACTGCATCATGGTAAGTCTCTCATCCCATTCCACATGCAGTTATGACATATAATTTTGTTAAAGAAGATAAAAGTGTCAGGGAAATTTTCAAATTTACTAATTAGGGAATTTATGAAGTGGAAGGAAAACAAAAATATCAAATTTTAAGTTTTCCACAAATAAGAAGATTGCTTTTAATTGAAAAATGATAAGCATCACTCAAGAGATTTTAATTTAAGTTTTAAGAAAAAATATGAATCTTTTCCAGCCCTCCTTATAATTATTTAGCTGCCTTTTGCATTTTGATGCTGACATTTTGAAGATTTTTGCTCCATTCCTTCAGATTGCTAAGTGTATGAAGGAGATCCTCTAGTGAGACCAGCAGTAAGCTTGGCCTTTATGTAAAGAACAAGGATGACTGATAATGATAAGGAAATATAGTAGAACTGTGTTTCTTTTGTGGAATCAGAGAAACTGGTTGGTTTATTTTAAATAAGTTGGATGTCTCTGAATATGGAAATCTGCTTGCAGCCTTGCCTAAAAGATATGAAGCTGTAATTTAACCAGACGTGTTTGTATTGTATTAAAGTACGTATACCACATATCCAACCCACATATTTGTATCTGTCAAAAAGTTAAGAAAACCGGGCCAATATCCTTCCAACTGTCAGTTAATGTGTGTGTGTTTTTTTCTGCATATTATACAAATAAAACACATGAACATCTGTAGTTATCATGTGGCCAAATCTGGGAAAGAAGTTTCCAGAAGTTGAAATGTTTTTGCAAACATCGTATCTGTCATATGATACAATTTCAAGATGTATTAATGCATTTTAATGATTCTTCTCTCTGTGACTCCTTGCATCTATTTATTTATTCAGATCCAATGAATGGACGGGTGTTGCAGAATGTTGAGAAATACGAGAAGCTGCTGGGTTCTGCTGGTGCATCAAGTGGGGGTAGTTTAAGAAGACCCAGCTCTACTTATTTAAGGACACAGGACACTTATGAGAGACTGTGTCTGACTCAAGGCTCCCAGGTTATTATGAAAATGTCTTCTTTAGATAATGTCTTGAAGTAACCTGAAACTCATCTTACAGAGTCATTGCAGAAATATCAGCTTTTTTGCCATTTTGAATCTGCAGCAATCTTTTGAATATGCAGCAAACCTTTGCAGAAAAATGTTGGAGGGATAAACAACAAACAGACATAAAAAAACAGGAGGAAGAAGATTTAAAAGAAATATATTTCCTGAATTTTGCATTCAGGAAACGAGATAAGAATCATGGATTCATGCACTGAATAGGGTGACTGAGGCACAGTTAACTTGTTACACAACATGAGATACAGCTGAGAACTGAGTCCCTCAAATATCAAGTATTATTTTGTCCAGTTTAGTTTGCAATTTATTTATTTCATCTTAAATTTATATAAAAGTATTTCCTGTTGTCATTAAAGCAGCTCCAGGTTTTGATTTTACATGTTATTGAATTACTCTTGCTTGTTCTTTTAAAAATGTCCCTACTGTATAACCTTTAAGATGTATCACTCTTGTGTTTTGCTGATTGTGCAGAGACTGATGATGAAATCTAAAGATTTTCCATGTTAAATCTTATTAATGGAATGCTGATGGTGGTTTTCCTCTCACAGCCAATGCATTTTGAAAATCCCAACCTGTTCTGTGACCACTTCACCAACAACAACAGCCCTGCTCTGCTGCTGCAGCCTGTGAGACGAGAGGTGCTGAGCCTGCAGCCTCATGTTGTTCTGTACCATGACTTCATCACAGGCGCCGAGGCGGAGGACATCAAACAGCTTGCCCAGTCTGGTGTAGGTGATGGTACATTCGTAGGTCAAGGTTTCAGATAAAAATCTGCATTTGACCTTTATTTGTGTGACCAGGAAGCTTTTAATTAAATCTGAAATAGTGAGGTTGAGTTCATTTGTTTTTTTATTGTTTGCACAGTTTATAACCAATAAATAGAGGAGTTTTGGCCGGAAATCCTTTATATATTTTAATTATTGACTTGTGGTTATTTTTAAAGCCTCTGATGTGAAAATAAACAGATTTTTTTATTTTTATGTTGTTTTTATACAGGTGCTGGTCATAAAATTAGAATATCATGAAAAAGTAGATTGATTTCAGTAATTCCATTTAAAAAGTGAAACTTGTATATTATATTCATACATTACATACAAACTCATATATTTCAGATGTTTATTTTGTTTAATTTTGATGATTACAAATGACAACAAATGAAAATCTCAAATTCATCATATCAGAAAATTAAAATATTGTGAAAAGGTTCAAAATTGATGGCCCCTGGTGCCACACTCTAATCAGCTAATTAACTCAAACCACCTGCAAAAGCCTTTAAATGGTCTTTCAGTCTAGTTCTATAGGCTACACAATCATGGGGAAGACTGCTGACTTGACAGTTGTCCAAAAGACGACCATCGACACCTTGCACAAGGAGGGCAAGACACAAAAGGTCATCGCTAAAGAGGCTGGCTGTTCACAGAGCTCAGTGTCCAAGCACATTAATAGAGAGGCGAAGGGAAGGAAAAGATGTGGTCGAAAAAAGTGTACAAGCAAGAGAGATAACCGCACCCTGGAGAGGATTGTGAAACAAAACCCATTCAAAAATGTGGGGGAGATTCACAAAGAGTGGACTGCAGCTGGAGTGAGTGCTTCAAGAACCACCACACACAGACGTATGAAAGACATGGGTTTCTGCTGTCGCATTCCTTGTGTCAAGCCACTCTTGAACCACAGACAGCGTCAGAAGCGTCTTGCCTGGGCTAAAGAGAAACAGGACTGGACTGCTGGTGAGTGGTCCAAAGTCATGTTCTCTGATGAAAGTAAATTTTGCATTTCCTTTGGAAATCAAGGTCCCAGAGTCTGGAGGAAAAGAAGAGAGGCACTTCATCCACGTTGCTTGAAGTCCAGTGTAAAGTTTCCACAGTCAGTGATGGTTTGGGGTGCCATGTCATCTGCTGGTGTTGGTCCATTGTGTTTTCTGAGGTCCAGGGTCAACGCAGCCACATACCAGGAAGTTTTAGAGCACTTCATGCTTCCTGCAGCTGACCAACTTTTTGGAGATGCAGATTTCATTTTCCAACAGGACTTGGCACCTGCACACAGTGCCAAAGCTACCAGTACCTGGTTGAAGGACCATGGTATCCCTGTTCTTAATTGGCCGCCAGCAAACTCTCCTGACCTTAACCCCATAGAAAATCTATGGGGTATTGTGAAGAAGAAGATGCAATACACCAGACCCAACAATTCAGAAGAGCTAAAAGCCACTATTAGAGCAACCTGGGCTATCATAACACCTGAGCAGTGCCACAGACTGATCGACTCCATGCCACGCCGCATTGCTGCAGTAATACAGGCCAAAGGAGGCCCAACTAAATACTGAGTGTTGTACATGCTCATACTTTTCATGTTCATACTTTTCAGTTGGCCAACATTTCTATAAATCCTTTGTTTTTATTGGTCTTCAGTAATATTCTAATTTTCTGATATGATGAATTTGAGATTTTCATTTGTTGTCATTTGTAATCATCAAAATTAAACAAAATAAACATCTGAAATATATGAGTTTGTATGTAATGTATGAATATAATATACAAGTTTCACTTTTTAAATGGAATTACTGAAATCAATCTACTTTTTCATGATATTCTAATTTTATGACCAGCACCTGTATAATTATTTGGCTTCATTCTCCATGCTCTTTATCTGATTAATTTGTTTGGGGTTTTTAATTTGAATTACATAATTTTTGCCTCTCACATGTTTGAAAATTTTAAAAGACCCAAAGGAGAAACTGGTATTCCCCTCCCTAAAGCAGTAGAGTTTTAGCCGTATTACTCCAGTAAAGCAAAGAATCTGAGTTTTGCCAGAAAACAGTGTGAGCCTCATGCAAAGATGACATTTCACAGAAACGTTGCTCCAAACTTACAGCCTGTTGACTCATTTTCCTCAGGAATCATTTGATGGGTTTACTTGAATGATGCTCTTTTATCCGCTGAGGTTTTGGCCTCTTGGAGTTTTCCATTCTTTGCATACAGTAGATGGAGAGCTGTTTTCATGTCATCATTACGTCAGCTTATAAGCTGATTGAAAACAGGCCTGTGACACTGAGCTCCATGGTTTTTACTTTCCTGGTGTCCTAAATGCAACATTAAACATCTGTTTTAGTCGCTCTTTCATTAAAGCTTATGTAGTTCCTTAACATTATGAGAAAGTTTTATTGAAAGTGGACTGCCTTTGAATTTAGGGAATTTTAAAATGCTAAATTCAGTTTGTTGGATGTAAGGCTGCTATTAGACATTGGAGAACAGATTAAGTAGAAGGCAAAGCGACTGCCAAGAAGTTTCTGTGGTTTAAAGAAACAGAAACTCAGCCCAAAGATATGTGCAATGACAGAGTTTGTGGTAAATTTTTAACAACTTGAGCAATAAAGAACAAGCAAAACCTATAATCATGTATTTTCTATCTCTCCCAACAAGTTGAAGAGATCTGTGGTGGCAAGTGGGAAGAAGCAGGAAACAGCAGATTATCGAATCAGCAAGAGGTACAAAACTATTAATGCTGCTGTTGGTGTGTGCATTGGACATAGAGAGCAATGAACTGAATAGATGTGTCTGATTTTTAGCGCGTGGCTGAAGGGCTCAGAGGGCTCCATCGTTGGAAGGTTGGACCAAAGGATTTCTGTGCTAACAGGTTTAAATGTGAAGCATCCATATGGCGAGTTCCTCCAGGTGGTGAATTATGGAATCGGTGGCCACTATGAACCTCATTTTGACCACGCTACAGTAAGACGATAATGTGTTATACTGACTGGTAAAGATATTCATACACCTTACATTTGACCACATTTGTTGCATTACATCTGCAAACCTTAATTTATTTGAAATTAGATTTGATAAATCAACACAAAATAGTACGTAGTTGTGGAGTGTGAATTGTAATTCTTTAATCCTTTACTAATCAAAATCTGAAAACTAATATATTTGTATTTGTCCCCTTTTCTTTTATACGACTATCTTGGCCAAAGTTAAACCTGCATTAGAAGTCTTAATCGTTACCATTTCTTGGTATGATAGCTGAAGTGTGGTCAGATTCTATGGAGGGTTTTCATGTGCATGAAGTTTGGAGTCTTGCCAAAGATTTTTAATTGACCATGTGTCCTTCTACAAACTTCAAGGTTTCTCCATAACTTTCTCCCTGAACTGCCTGAGGTGTTCCTTAAACCTCATGATGCTTTTGTTCACTACTGTTGTATAAAGCATTTAGGAGAACAGCTTTATCTATACTAAAGGAAATATACACAAGTTTTCACTAAAACTTATCTTACTAACAAGGTTTTTTACTGATTTTTATTCTGAGGTCTCAGAGTAAAAAGTGAGTAATTACACAGGAATCCACATATTTCAGATTTTCATCTGGCAAACGTTTTTAGAAATATAATTTTACCCACTTCACAAGATTGTCTTTTTTGCTATATGACTTGACATCCCAATAATCTACATTTGTGATTTTAGCATAATAAAATGTAATAAGGTTTAAAGGGTATGTTCATTTTTCATGATTTCAATTGGTTTTTATATTTCTTTTACAATACAGTCGCCCACCAGTCCTGTTTTCAAGCTGAAAACTGGGAATCGTGTGGCAACCTTCATGATTTATGTGAGTGAAATTGACTTTTTCTCTATCAGATCAGATTCCTGTTGGTTTTTATGTGGTATCAAGTTGATCCACGCTGCTCTCAGGAGCTTTTTTATCTCTTGATCCTGTGCAGCTAGTCTCTTTTAATTAGTTTCTTTTTTATGAGGATAAACTGAGTTAAAAGAGGAATAATTTTTTTCTAAATCAGTTCTATGGGAAAAAATGTACTTGCATAAGATACACACACAAATACAAGACACTGTCTAAAGGAATGTTTTTTCTACAGCTCAGCTCAGTTGAAGCTGGTGGGTCCACAGCCTTCATATACGCCAACTTCAGTGTTCCAGTAGTAGCGGTAAACAATTCCAATATCTGAATATTCTTCTTAAACCTAAATGTTTCTTTTAATGCAACCTTGATTTATTTCCTTTTTTGTTCATTTTACCTAATCCGATAGTGGGAAATATAAATTGAGAGATTTTTTTACCCACAGTCCTGCTTTCAAACTTTATGTTTTTTTGTTGTTGTTTTCAACAAGCATTTAAGATAACAATTGCTTGAACACTTGACAGATTTACCGTAAGTTTCAAAGTATCTTTAATTTTACCAACATGTTTCTTTTTTGTTGAAATATCATTAGCGTTTTTTTTTTTCCCGAGTATGTAGTCCGTCTCATAATTAGTATTTACGTAGAAAGGTGTGAAGTTTTATATTTGTTTGAAGTATGACCCTTTAGCTGATTGGATATGTTGGGATTTTATGTAATTTGGAACAGAACAAGTAAAAGCAATCAGATTTTTGCCTTAAAAAAGTTAAATGAAATTATTTTGGTTATTTGCTTGCTTAACTTTCTCATGCATCTGTTAACCTTAAATATATAATACCTGTTTTATTTAGGCAGTACCAAATTACCTGGATAGAGCTTTCCAAAAACACACATTTTCAAACTGGGGAATGGTCTAACAGAAATATATACAGATTTAGAAAGAAAAGAAAACAGTAATAAACAAAAAATCGAAAGAAAAAGAAAGGAACAATAAGGAAAGGATGGAAACAGAGACAAAATACACCTCATATATATATTTATGTATGTATATGCCAAGAAAAATAAAGGGAACAATCAAGTAACATACGTATATAGCGTTAGTTGTTCATTTTAAAATATGTTTTTTATGTTATTTGAATATTCCCAGAAGTCTGCCCTATTCTGGTGGAACCTCCACAGAAATGGACAGGGGGATGAAGACACCTTGCATGCTGGTTGCCCAGTGCTTATTGGTGATAAATGGGGTCAGTATCTGTTTCCTCTTATTAGACTTTATTAAAAGCCACCAAAAAGGGATGTGCTTTCCTAAATATCAATCTTATTTTTTAATATATAACAGCTGGACTCCATTTGTGTTTCATTTTGAGTTTAGAGATATCGCCGCCTACAGTTCAGGCTCTAAGGGTTTATCTTAGGAAGTGAACATCTGCTGCTGTTTGGCTCAGAAAAAGAAATATGTTTTGCAGACTAATCAAACCAACAGATGCATCATAATAATCAGGAAGCAGCTGCAGAAGAAGTTGCTTTTTATCACAGCAATTTTAATGTGAAAGAAAGATGGAATGCAAGTTGTCTTTTATTGAAACTATTTTTGAATAGGTTACAAAAAACAAGGCAAGATCCTTTATCAATGCAGTTTCTGCCGATTAATAACAGTAATTGGATTTTTTGAGTCGTTTGACCACCATTTTGCTGTATTTTTGTGCTGTAGTAGCCAACAAATGGATCCACGAGTACGGCCAAGAATTTCAGCATCGCTGCAGCCTGAATCCTAAAGAGTGAAAGGGACAAACTGATCCTGTGAAAAAGAAGCCTTGACCACCGTCAGGCACATTGGCAAAGAGAGAAGAGGCAACAGCCAGAGTGTGTGTTTGGAATGGAGGGATAACTTGAATCTTTGAGGGAACCTGGGCACTCCTGCAGTGGACACTGAGGTGGAAAAGGAATGAGGTATTTGGAAATCAGCCTACGGAGGCCAAATATTTCCACTTGGCAATTCCTCGCAATGGAGAAATATTTACATTTAGATGGAAACGCTAGCAGAAGCTCATGCAGGATATTTGATCTGCAGAGGACTGTCAATTATTTCAGGGGGATCAGATTTAACAGCTGTTCATCCTAACTCTGGTAACAAAGCTAAGCCTTAGTTTAACGACTCACTCACCGGGATTTGTTTGTTTAGTTCTGCATGATAGAACAATGTTGCCATTCCTACTGTTTTTGACTCAGAATGATGTAGAAACCAAAAAAATAAACTGTTAATTCCACTTTTTAATTTGCCTCAGAAACTAATCGTTTTTGATTAAGAGTCTGGAGGATTCTGCATCTTTTTGAACTTACACACATCATCAAAATATTGTTTTAGACAGCTGTCAAAATACTTCACAGTACAGCTGATATAATTATGGAGAACTTTGAGTTTTGGTCAGTTATAAACAGCTATAAAACCCAACTCATAAGCATCAGACCCTTCTAAAGGAAAATGTTGTGGGAATCTCCCGCTGCGTGATGGGCTAAGATCTTAACTTAATACTTTTTCTTTCCCACAGGGACACGCATTTTTTTTTCCAGCTGAGGCAGTCTTTCCAGCCACAGACAGAAACACAGAACATATATGAATAGAGCATGTATTGGGTCTCTATTGCACATTCCTGTGCACACACGGAGACCAAGATATTCCCATAGAGCTGTTAGAGAGAAAGGTTGCTCTTTCTTGTTTCACTGTGGAACCTATCAACAAGTTTTTACGATTAAATATGCAATTCTGATGCATCAGATAATGTAAGTATTGAGTAAAAACTAATTCTGATTATAACGACAGCTCATATGTCCTTTTTTTTTTTTTTTGAATTAGACCTGCTGAAAGTTTATCCAGTCTGCAAACACATAATGAGAGAGTTTGGAAAATTAAAGTCACCGATGTAACCTTATTTTTTCCTTTTTCCTAAATGCAGCTCTCACTGTTACCACAGCAAACACAGAGGGACTCTCAATGGCTTTTCAAACTGCCTAAAACACATGAGTAGATGTTTGGCATTCTGCAAGAAACTGTCAAAAACAAACAGAAAAAAGCTGTTTAAAGTGAATTGGGGGGGGGGGAAATGGGGGATTTGTTGTTGCATTTAACTAATAAGTTATTCTCATTTGAGTTAACATCAGTAAGGGATAAAAAAAGAACTTTAAAGTCAATAATAGAGTTTTGTGCATTTGGTCAGTTTTAGAGAAACCATAGGATCAGTGCTTCCCTCTGCTGGTGTTAAAATATAACAGACAAGAGTCTTAAGTGATGGATTATTTTTAAAATAATTGTTCATATACTAACGGCTGTAAAGAAAATAATTCAGTTTTTTTTCTGTCTGAAATAAAGAACCTACCAATTTGAATATGTTTTGTTTTTTGTTCTTTTATTTTGTTCTTTCTTTTCTTCTTTTTTCTTTTTAAATCAAGACTATCCACATTAGGATGTTTTAAATGCTTCTCCTCTGAATCTGTGAAGGGGCTATACAACAATTCCAAGTGTAACATCTTACATTTATTTACAATCAGCTGATGCATCTCTTTATCATGATCATTTTGACAGGAGAGCCTGTGAAAATGGTGAAAAGTAACACTTCTGAGATACTGGTGATCTAATTAATCAATACAAACACACACACATAATGAAAGAAAGAAAGAAAGAAAGAAAGAAAGAAAGAAAGAAAGAAAGAAAGAAAGAAAGAAAGAAAGAAAGAAAGAAAGAAAGAAAGAAAGAAAGAAAGAAAGAAAGAAAGAAAGAAAGAAAGAAAGAAAGAAAGAAAGAAAGAAAGAAAGAAAGAAAGAAAGAAAGAAAGAAAGAAAGTTTGCAAAACCAATCAGAACAGCAAAACAACGGTTCTGGTGAGATGGAGCAAAATGTTTTACAAAGTCTGTCATATTTTGGGAATATGCCCTCCTAGACTCAACACTGGGTATGCCCAGGTGCCTTAATCTAGAGAAACTTCTTTCACAGAATGTAGTTGCAATAGGAACCACAACCAAAATTATACTAAGCCTAAAATGTTCATGGAAAACCTCTTTGTTAGGTTCCAAAAACACAACAAACTCAAGTAGAGAAGCTGGTCTCTCCACTTTTCTACCCTCTTAAAAGAAGCCGTCTGGTTTGATGAAGCTCATACTTAAGATCTTCTAAGTCTGATTTGAATGTTTTCCTCAAAGCAAGCAGCGGCTCCTCTTTTAGGAATGGTGGGCAATGAAGACAATTTGAAGATATCTATGAAGATTGTGAGTCATCCAGGTGATGGTCTACCTTGAAAAAGCATCAGTGGTTCTACGTGAAGCTTTCTAGATGATGTTATCCAAGAGGCTTCTTCAGTTCAGACTGGTAGTGGGGAGCACTAAGATTAACATACTGTAAGTCTAACAAAGAATTAGGGGGGGCAAAACTTGGCTTTGATCTCCCACTGGATTGGCCAAGGAGGTCACATGGTGGGACGTCACTTTTCCCCATTCATGTGTATTGGGCCGTTACTTTCAGATATCCAAAATGACATTACTCCTATCTAAAATAAACATTCTGGAAGTCTAAAAATGAATTTAAGATCTCCCTAATCCAATTGTTACTGGTCTTAATCTTTATTTCAGACATCAAAAATGAAGATATTATTGCAGATATACAAAGTATAATTTCTGACATCTAAGATATATTTTTACTAGTATAAATGTCTTTACAGATATCTACAACTACATTTGTAATACTGCTTTCGATGGCAGTAATGTAATTTCAGATATGTGTAACAGCCCAACACACATGAATGGGAAAAGTGAGGTCATTTGTACAAGTAAGAATTACATTTCAGATATCTGAAATTTTCATTTTAGATACTATTAAAGATATCTGAAAAAGATATCCGGTCAAGCAAATATATGTTAAAAAAGCCACTTAAAATGAGGGAAGTTCTTACTAGTACAAATTTGATTCTAGATTACTTATAATTTAATTTCTTCTGGCAGAAATGTAATTAGTGATATTTAAACTTCAATTCTGAATAGAAACATAGTAATTGTGACCAGCTAGACTGCTTAAGTGCTATCTCTAATAGAAATGTGTCTAGTCAGCCTGCCAACTTATGTTAAAATGGAGCCTCATCATCCTTTTGCAAGTATCTAACACTGCATTTTATATAGGCATTATTAAAATTTAGATATCTGGAACTCTATTTTAACTAGTCATAAAAAAATTTCCCTGTGGGAAAGAAAAGTATTAAGTTAAGATCTCAGCCCATCACGCAGCAGGACATTCCCACAACATTGTCCTTCAGAAGGGTCTGATGTTTAATGAGGTGGGTTTTATTACTGTTTATGACTGACCTAAACTCAAAGTACTCCATAATTATATCAGTATTTTGACAGCGGTCTAAAAAAAAAGGTTGATGAAGCGTGTGAGTTTAAAAATCTGTAATGACATTTCCACTAGCAGAAATATATTTTTGATGTCAAAAATTTGATATCAGCAATGTTATATTCATTTTTGATATCTGAAATAGTAATTCTGAGTAGCATTAACTCTATTATGGAGATCTGAAATTTCATCCTCATCAGAATTAATTTTTATATATGAAGAAATATATAAAATCTTCATAATACATAATTAAAAAATAGAATGTAGGTGATATGAATTTATGTCACTACATACTCATGTACAGTAGGTGGCGGTATGCTACCTAAAGTTGCTGCATTCCGCCACAAATTTAAAGGAGAGGAAGATTTCCCATAATGCCTCAGTAAAAAATGGCGGTAGGGGATGTTGTTTGTTTTTTTTACTACAACTTTAATTCCAATTTAAAACAGATGATCATGTACACAATTTCAATTAATATTGAAAGCGTTCAACATTTCAAGATAAATAACAAGCTTTAAAAGTCAAAGCTAAACAACGCGAGATATTCTTTAAATGTTAGGAGGCGTGAAAATTCGGTCACCGGGGGAGGTGGATTGGCGGATCCTGGGAACCCGCTGTTGTTGCTAGGAGACAGTTCTTCTTCTTGTTGTTGAAATTTGGTGGTTGGCAAAAAACGTTAGGTGAGCATTACCGCTACCAACTGGTAAGGAGTGTGTCGGAGACAGGTTTCCGCGCTTGTGTAGTTCTGTGTGCGCGCGCACTACTCTGCCTCTGTTAAACTGATTATTATTTTACTAGGCTGATAATGAACATTTCTACGAAGGTTCCGGTCTGCGTCTCGGACAGACTGTCACTAACGAGCTGTTTTTCATGAACAAAGTAATGAAGAGTAAGAAACAGAATTCTGTCAAAACTGGAAGCAACAAAAGGAAAGGTAAATAGAACTAAGCTAGCTGCTAATGTTATGCTACTCATAAGTAGCCTGTAACTCCCAACTGTCAGCTTTCCATGAGCATAGTCAGAAATTAAAAGGAGACAAAGCACATTGTTCATATTTTAGATTATTCTTCAATCTCTCGCTTTAAATTGTCCTTATAAAAATAAAGTTACCAAAATCACACTATAGTTGGTTATGTTACAGTATAATCGTCACCTAAAAAGGCTAAAGTTTTATTCTGCTAATTATTTCAATTTCACCATTGAGTTATATATACTGTTTGACCATTTTATGTTGTTTAATGCTGCATAAAGTGTTTAGAAGGGAAGGATATGGTAGGAACAGAGATTAACTTCTTCTAGGTTGTTTCATTACCTGAGAAGAGGGACCTTTTTATTCAGATCTTTTTATAAATTCTAGTTTTGAGTAAATTTCTCTGCAATCTATTTTTTCTGTGAACCCAAAGGAGAAAGACTCTTAATAATAATTTTTTTACACATCATATAACTATTGTAACCTTAAATAATATCTAATATATCTAATTGTATCTACATCCTAAACCTATTATATCATGTAATTGC